TGAGTGTCTTGGCGAGACGTGGGGATGGGGTGGAGCAGCAGTGGAAAATCTTCACTCTGCGTCCGTGGATGGTTCCGAATCCTAAGCGAATATTCGAGCTTATGGATCCGGGGCCTAGATCGTGGATCTGGCCGTAGGGTTGCCTTGCGGGTGTGTTCCCTTGCATTTGTAGTTCCTTTGCGTCGTACTTGCCGCCTCCTGTGACGGGATCTTGAAAGTTGAGAACCTCTAGGGTGTAACCGACCAAAAAGTAGTAAATTCGGTTAACCTGTCGGATCTGCACAAGTAAAGGAAAAGCTCACTAGGTTGTAGGATCTGGCCAATGTATTATCCAGTTATCACTACCAACACTAGATTCGAAATTCCCAACCTTCTCCTAGCTCGTACGGCCAATGTAGTTCCGGTTCTTGAGGACAGGAAGGCACTTGCGTGTTACTGTGCAAATTGAGGTCTGTATTGATATTTAAGCCTAAACCTGCCTGGATTTCTACCTTCTATGTCTTTCATCTGCTAAATCCCTTACCAGGCTCGGCTGCATGTCCCTTCTTCCCTTGACCCATCATCCCAGCTGTATTATCTTCAGATCCACCGGATCCATGACGTAATCATCATGGTCACCCTATTATGGGTACACTCATCCGGATCCAGGTCGCTTGGATCCACTTCACTGTAAGTTTGCACTCGTCGTCGATCTGAGCTCTCCCATCATCCAACATCATCTCGCAACCGTCTGTGATCTCCATTGTCCCACGAAAGTTCGAGATCCACTGTATCCATCATCCCTATACCCTGGATCCAGGTCCCTCCAGGCGGGATCCTCCCTCCTTGGATCCGAACTCGGAAGTATGGGATCCGGGGTACCTCGCGGTGGATCTTGACTCTTCATTAGCCGTGGCTACTAGATCCACCTTCAGAGGGCACCGACCATCCTGCCTTCATAGGATCCACACTCGATCCACTCTTGTATAGTATATCCCATATCCATCTTAGTGAATCCAGGTAAGGGTGGATCCGAGGTAAGTCTTGGTGGATCTTGCCTTCTCGTACGTCGCTCATATCAGATCCATCGTCATTCCATACGGGGTGCTGCTCGCCATGGCTAATCCACCACAGGCAACTTGCATCCGTGCCAGCCAACCCAAATCCTCTCTAATCACTTGAAATTGTCACTGATTCGGGATAGTGACCCCGCGTCAGGCCCGTTCTCTTATTTCTGAAAAAGCACTTCACCACATGTTCCTGGGACCTGGTCTGGGACCAGACAGCAAGAATCTGCTGTCACACTCGCAGGCCGAGGACCACGGCTTCGACATTGAGTATCATTGAGCGAAACCAGCCAGGGTACGAGGTCTACTTCTTAACAGATAAGGTGGTGCAACACATTCTACATGGGTCTATTCATGAAGATATACTCTATAAGGACCACTTTAAGGAAGGCTACCACAATTTTGTCACAAATTGGCTTTCGTCGGTAGATGAAGATGCAAGCGGAGGAGAGGCACCTAGTAGTATCTACAGGAGCGTCATTGACGAAGCAGGCATTGCTGTTGAGAAGACCGACGACCGCTGATTCGCCAAATTTGCCTGACTATGAGAAGATCGAGGTGTTACCGCCTGCTGGGCACATGCATTATGCTTCTCCAGACAGCAAGTAAATTGAGATTACAAAGTGTACGAGCATGCCAATATGTATTGCGCGTCTGAATTCGGAGGCAGCACAAGTTCCAATTGACTCTAGTCAAAGACGAGACGATGTCCCGATCTGAAGTTTCTCCTCAAGTTCTGACAAAGTCTCCACATCTAAAGAGCATAACAGCTCAGAGCGGTGGTCAACCTGCCGAAACCCACGAGTTTGGTAACAAAGTTTTTATCTTTCGCGCTTCTTAAATTCAGAGCCAAGTCGGGCGAAGCACGGGAGCTAAAAAAATGTCCCTAAAAAGTTTTAAAAGTGCTCTAATTGTACTAATTGATACTGAGATAAGCTAAGTGTAGAACATGCGATAGCGGCCTTCCAACTGAGGCGAGCGGGGGGGGGGGGGGCGTAACCGCAGCTAGCCCGCGTGGGGTGCCCCGCGAAGCAGAGCAGCTCGGAATTTGGGGAGGGGGGCCCCGCGCCGAGCTCACCAGCGAGCCGAGGATTGCACTCTCCAGTACAAACATTCTTTAAATCGCGAGCGAAGCGAACTCAAGGTGGTTTCTGAAATCACAGTTTTGTTTTACTTAATTAAACAAATTAAAACGTTAAAGAAATTTTTATTGGTCTAAAACCTAATCATTTAAAGCAATATTTGGTTTCATGGACTTGAAGGTTTTCACGCTCGTAGACCTCCTCGGTAAGGAGTAAACTGCATCGGGAAAAGGAATTGACCCCTCTTAAACCTATCAACGACGTGGAAATTTGATTTCAGCAGCCCAATCAGCGCGATACCGGCACCTTTACAGCCCGCTTTTAGTGCATTGTGCCTTTCATTTAAACTTCAATGAACATTTCTATTGCTTTGACAGCGTTCAGGGGTGAGAATACCTGACTAAAAACGTTATTTTTCGGTTAGTTTTTATGCTTAATGAAACATACCAATCTATTAAAATAGTCTTATCATAGTACTGCTGCGTATTCGTCCATGTTATGTTGCATTAGCGCAGCGATTTTGCTCGACGTTGTTGCGGAGCAAAATACAGTACGAGCAGATCCTTGAGCTCGATGTGTACATGTACATGAGATTTGCTAGAACCTCTGAGATATTATTTCAAATCGTTTTTTAGATCATCATTGGGAATAACAGAGGATCGTATCGTTTGATCATCAAATTTAATACCCTTCTCTTCCTGATATATAAAGAGTTATTAATTGTCAGACCACACTGGAAATCGAGCAAAACTCGGAGAAGGGGCTGTGCTGATTAACTCCACAAGTCATTCCGCCTAGGCATATGTATGCTGCTGACACCTCAAACGCTATTAATAGTTATACCGGCATCAGTGTGATAACAACAGTGGTCGGTAGACGACGCCAAGAATTTACATGCCTCTTAACCAGATGGGCACGAGCACCATTGCACAACAAGACATCGACTGAAAAAAACTACGGCTCTACTGCAGTGGCTCGACGACACCCTTCAACGAAGATACTTGCCTCGGACCGATTGTCTTCAGCTGTCATTCTCGGTTTCTCCGCCATGTCCTCAAGCAAGAACAACTCCCCTTTTTCCACCAAGCAACTCGCTGTCGCGGTGCTCGCTGCATCAGTTGCCTGCGGTGTCCAGGCGGCCAGCAGTAACAACTCCACTTCCGGCGACCATGCCACGTTCGGTGATATCACGTCGGGCACTGGCAAGTGCGTCACTGGAAACCCAAATAAAGGTGGAGTCACCCGAGACCAAGTGAACTGGGTCTGGGAGAACACCATGTCTAAGAACATACCAGATTTCAAGAATCTCATCTTCGATCAGCTCGCGGCAAGCAAGGGCAAGCTCAGCTACTGCGTGCGCTGGGACAACGAAAACCCACTTACTAAGGTCACAGCATCCAAATTCCAGTCTGTACTTGAGAAACAGATCAACCACTGGAACCGCTGGCTCGTCGGCTATGAATGCTGGCCATATGACCACATTGATGTCGACATTGTGGGCTACGCTGTGAAGGACAAGTCCATTATGGACTGGAGCGACAACTCGCTCGGCCCAATCTACGAAGGTATTCTTGATGGCGAGGGTAGCCCAAAGTGCCCCGATGAGTGCTACAAGCATGGTCGCGGCGATACTAGTGGCTGCAAGAATAAACCTTTCGACTTAACCCTTTGGCCGTCGACGTCAGCGGGAGAGAACGCTTTCGGTACTGGCGGTGACTGGGGCCAGCGTATCGAAGTAAACCACTTTCTGGAAATCTTGGATAAGGAGGACCAAATGACCTTGCTGCACGAGATTGGTCGGTGGTTTCGGCTTGCTGGAGATGTACCTGGGGGAGAACAAGCCTTCAGGTTTTCCTACCTGCGTGATGGACGAGGATGAAGTGCTGACTGACGCCGATGGCTGGTTGCTTCGTATCATTTTAGAGAACATCAAGTCTCGTTACAGCTTCTAGGCCTAATTGAGCGTACTTGATTTTTTTAGTAGCAAAAGATTGTTGTTAGTGTAAGTGATTAAATCAATTTCAAACTTTGAAATTGAAATTCTAAACAAGCGTGCTACGCTTAGCGGCTTGGCTTATGTGGGGTGCCTTTTTGTTTGAGTAACTCACAGTTTGTACAGATGAACCCTTTGGAAGTAAGCCCTCATATTGGAATACCCTCCGAGTATTGGCTCCCCAGGATAAAATTGACTTCTCACCTCTCCCGCGTTGTATGGAAAACCAAAAATGATTGTTATGAGGTACTTAGCTACAGAAATTCCTTTGTCAAAGGGCACCCCCATTACCATTGTGTTAAAACATGTACAGTGCTGCACCCCGTTTTCGCGCCCTTGGACCTTTGATAAACTTCCGGATGTGATGATCCTGAATCCAAATGAACTTAAATTTGTAAGGTAAACTCTAATTTATATGCAAATCCTATATGGTCCACCCCCACGAAAACGGGGTGCAGTACTGTACATTGATTTGAAAAACACATCAGCTTCAAAGCATAATACGATCAATTTAAGGGCTTCGAGCGAAAACTCAAGCCCGCAGTCCTCGCCTACTTCCTCAGCAATACATGTATACAGATACTCTAGCTTATCGACTAGCCCCGCAGTAGCTGCTTCTTCAAGCACAGGGTGTACCGCCGGTAGCTCACGGGTGTCTGTCGGTATTGCGAGCTTCCTAAATTCACTAGCTGTCTCAAGCATTTGTTAGCCACTCCATCAGAGTTGCACGTGATGGCCGCCACCGCTTGCTACAGCGCCCAAAATCAATTCATCCTTTGCAGCTTGTTTATATATTTGCCTTTTTTGCCTTCTTCTGCTAGGCCAGGCCTGTATAGAACTTCTCCATTGTGGTTGCCATACCGTGGGACTGATAGAACTAGATTATATGTCCCTTCTTCACGTTGTCTACAGCAGCACGAACAAACTGCCTTGGCTTTTTGAAGACGCCCTTGGTGTTTATTCTTCCCGATGGTGGTGTCTTCGGCTCCATTCTGGCAATGGCTGGCAGCGACCAGAAGAGCCAGATTATCACATTTCTGCACATGCGCCCTTTGACAAAGAATTATCCGTTTTTCAATATCCTGCAGTGTGATTGGCCAGGTGCTCTATCTCCGGATCTGCCGGGTACGCCCTTTGACAAAGGGATGTCGGTATGGGAAAGTTAATTGTGCAGCACGCCCAAAGTAATCTGCTCTGCAGCATCCTTTTTAGAATCACGAAACTTTCTTTACATGCCAATAGATAAAGGAGGTTGCCGCCTGCACTGCACGTAATTTGTAGTGTCTTGACAGTTGACAAACTGAACTTGGCCTTAAAAGCGAACGCAGCCTTAATACCGGTCAGCTTGTGCTTGATGCAGTACGTTCAAAAGTGTGTATTGAGTTCTTATATTTCATGCATGCTAAGTAGTTTGTTTTCTCCTAGAGCTCGTTGGTAACCAACATGCAGTAGTTTTTTCCTAGTGCTCGTTGGTAACCAACATGGATTAGTTTCCTAGCAAAGGTCCCATGTAGTGGGCCACACCATTACATAAGTAGGTAGCTTTATATTACAAAGGTAGGTGCAGCAGCACACGGCTAGCGTGTGCTGAACTGCCGTCATCCTATTGGTTGATATATGGGGAGCCAGACCCATTATCAGCCAATAAGGGGTTGACGTGTATTTGAGTGGTCAGGGCAAGCTGCCCTGGACCTAAATATAAACAGAGTTGATTTTCCTTCAGACTAAACACTTGGTTTCACTATCGTGGATCTTGCACGCTTCCTCATTATTACGTGTAAGCTAGTAACGGACACTCTAGGCCCGTTACACCTGGTAGCACTTAGTAGTCCTTCCCATGACCAAGTTCACAATGAGCCAAGGCCAGACGTCTGAAGCTTCAGGGTCAACCCTGGAGCATGCTGCTTTCCCTCATCTCACTCGTGTCGAGTGGGAAGCCTTTCACCGCCTTACGGCGGTGTCCGGTGAGGCTGTTGTCGCGTCGCTGCTGATCTCAGCGACTCCCGATCAACAACGTCAAGCAGCTCAAGAGTTCATGGAATGCGAGCTCGCCGACGCGAATCGGCGAGCGACAACTCCCTCGCGTTCCTCGAAGAATGACATCGTCAAGTTGGAGACGTCAACCTACTCCGGTGAAGGAGCGAATCGCCTTCCGTTGAATCGCTGGTTTCGCGAAATCGACATCGCTATCGCCTCGAGGATGATCGAGGCGCAATGAGCGAAAGTTAACTTCTTACTTTCCCGACTGGCCGGGAAAGCCAAGGAGTGGGCACTCGGCAAACTGGTCGTCAACAACGATGCGTTCTCCACCCTGGAGGCCCTCCAGAGTGATCTTCGTCTCGCCTTCGAGCCTCCACAAGACGAGTCCCGAGTGCGCGCAGAGTTCTTCGCTCTGCGACAAGGCAAGATGACCATGCGCGACTACGTCCAGAAGACACGCCACCTCGCATCCTGCATCGTCACCAATCCGATTGACATGGCATCTCAAGTCCACGTCTTTGTGTTCGGCATGCGTGAAGGCATAACGCGATACTGTCTGACTCGAGCGGAACCCTCCTCTCTCGAGGAGGCATTTGCTCTCGCATTTCGTGAAGACTACGCTGTGGCGGCGTCGTATGCGCGAGCAATGCCCGCGGAAGCTCAAGAGTCAGCTCCGGAGCCGATGGAGATCGACGCGATTGACGCGTCGAGCAACCGCCGTCGTGCAGCCCCTCGTGCGAACGGTGGTCGTCCCAGTTGATCCCTCACTTGCTTCCGCTGTCGGAAGGTTGGACATCGCGCGGCTGAGTGCCGGGCGCCCGCGCCAGTACTCGCGCATACTGTCGATGCCTCTCCTACCGATCACCCAAAAAACGGCCAAGGCCAGTAGGCGCGGGGCGCCCTACTGGCTGGAATGGAGATCCGGGTCCCCCGGTGGCAACCCAACCTTCTAGCCCTCGCGTGCTACACGCACACTTCAATGCCACCACAGCGTCGGGCGACTCAAGACTGATCATCATCAGCCTCCATGTCGCCGGCGCCCGACGTCCACTACGCGCGCTTGTGGACTCAGGAGCGACAAACAACTTCTTCCGTGAGTCGTGTCTGTCGACGCTACCCAGCGAAATCGCTGTCCGCAACGGTCGCGGACAGGTTGTAGTCAAGCTTGCTGACGGAAAGCCGCGCCACGTCGCGCGGCGCGAGATCACGTTGCCGTACACGTTCGACGGCTTTCGCAGCAATGACGACTTCCCCGTGATTGAGATGAACTACGCATTTGATTGCATCCTGGGCATCCCGTGGTTGTCACGATATCAACCAGAGATTGACTGGTTGGCCCGCTCGGTTAAACACCGCAGCGGTTTCGACGTGAGCGAGGTGTTCACCCACCTCCTGGTTGCCCAGAAGGACTGGCCCCACGTCACCGTCGTGGACCGGTCGTCCACGACGCAGGCTGTACACAGAGTGAGCGATGGCCCTCTCTGCACGGCTTGTGCAGTGCTGTTGCACGAAGGCTCCTCGCCGCGAGGCGAGGACAAGAACACGATGGCGGTCGAGCAGGGGCTCCCGCAATACGAGCAAGCGGTCGAGCATGGGTTCCCGCAGCGCACAACTGCGGTCGAGCATGGGTTCCCGCGGCGCACCACAGCGGTCGAGCATGAGTTCCCGCAGCACAATATGGCGGTCGAGCATGGGTTCCCGCAGCGCAACACAGCGGTCGAGCATGGGTTCCCGCAATGCAACACGGCGGTCGAGCAGTCGAGGCTCCCGTCACCCGAGCCGGTGGTCGAGCAGTTGGAGCTCCCGCCGAACGATCACGCGGTCGAGCAGTGGCCCCCGCGTGTGACCGGCACAGTCGAGAGTGAGCTTCAGTGCCTAGAGCGGGGTGATACATCGTCCAGCGAGAGCGATTCTTCCTCCTCGAGTACACACTCGAGGCGCCGGGCAAAGAAGTCGAAGCGCCGTCATTTGAAGCCACGACGTGAAACTGCACCGAACGGCATCTCACAGACGGAGTCGGTCTGTGCCATTGAGCACGTGGACGACGGCATGGACCGTCAGCGCACCGTCGATCTTGTGTATCCACCTCGCGACGCTCAATCGATCACCCGGCTTCCAGGTCTCTCCTGGAAGAACTTCCTATGTGGTCTCAAGGTTGGAGAGGTTGAGCAGGTCTGCCTGATCACAGACACTTCGTCTACGCCACTCGAAGGGAACACCGTCAGTGATGACGACGGATCCACCCGTTCCAAGAGCGCCGAACCGAAGTCCGCTCGCGAGGAGCGATTCGCAGCGCAGTCCTGGGAGTCCTTGCGCGAGTCTGGTAATCCAGTGTACGAGACCGTCCGCGAATACGCGGACGTCTTTCCCGATAAGATTCCAGCCGAACTGCCTGCCGATCGAGGCGTCCGCCACGAGATCGATCTCGCGCCCGGTTCGAAGTACTGTGTGACGCGGCAGTGGCCGCTGCCGCGAGACCAAGTCAAGGCCATCGACGACTTCTTCGAGAATCGCCGTAAAGCGGGTCACGTGCGTGAGAGTGTCTCTCCACATTCGAGCCCAACGTTCTGTGTGAAGAAGGCCACAGGCGGATGGCGCATCGTTCATGCCTTTAACAAGTTGAATGATGCGACCATCCCCGCGCAAACACCAATTCCCCGGAAGGACATGGTGCTCGACACCATGGCGGGCAGTGTCGTTTTCAGCGCCATCGACTTGACCGATGGATTCTATCAGATCTTGATGAGACCGAGCGACATCCCCCTGACAGCGGTCAGCACCCCCAGCGGTATGCTCTGGGAGTAACATGTGATGCCACAAGGCTTGAAGAATGCTCCCGCCACGTTCAATCGCATGGTCTCCCATGTGCTGCGTCCGCTTCGAGACTTCGCACCGAGCTACTTCGACGACATCTTCGTGCACAGCCGCGCTGAGGGTGGTCTCAGCGCGATAGAAGTCCACTTGAAGCACTTAAAACAG